TGAAAGTAAAAAAACAAGTACTAATTGTTAAAGAGAGGATACTGTGGCAATCCAAAGAAAGATAAAGCTTTGCAAAGGGGGTAGAATTGGAGGAAACCTTGAAAGATGGATATGAGAAGTGACAGGCTATGAAGAGATAGAAAAGACAATTCTATTCACCTGATATCCAAGAATCAACTGTACTTTTCTAAAACAGGATTTTGGAATGCAATCTTCTAACTAAATCAAACATTGATGAATAAAACTATGTTTTATAAAATGATAATATATTATATTTAAGAAAAAGGCCTTACATTTTAGCAGTGTTTTCCAATTTGTCTCAAGGCTCATAGGACCTTAGGGTTATTGTAAGGGCATAACTAGCGATAAAGCTGAAAGGTAAATTGGGTTGTGGATAGGAGGTTGCAGTGGAAAATGTACAAAAAGAATCTACCTTGGAAATAACCATTTTCTAAGTGCTGAAGACCTAGGTAAAGTTAAATACGGTATGAAAACTCAATAAATTATATAACTATTAAATGGAATAAGAATAAAGACTATATAACAAAATAGAAAATATTTGAAAAATACTACTTAAGAGAAAAGAAGCAGAGGCCTTGGCTGAAGAGCACAGTTGGTTAGAGAGTTGTCCCCATATGCCAAGGTTGCAGGTTTGATCCCAGGTCAGGGCACATACAAGTATCGACCAAATAATGCATAAGTTAGTGAAACAAGCTTGGCTGGTGTGGCTCAATGGTTGAGCACTGACCTATGAACCATGAGGTCACGGTCCAATTCCCAGTCAGGGTACATGTTCAGGCTGCGAGCTTGATACCTAGTGGGGGGCATGCAGGAGGCAGGCAGTCAACGATTCTCTCTTATATTGAAGTTTCTATCTCTCTCCCTCTCCCTTCCTCTCTGAAATCAATACAAATATATATTAAAAAAATAAGTGGAACAACAAATCGATGTTTCTCCCTCTCTCAAGTCAATAAATTTCTAAAAAAGCAGAATAAACAGTAGAGTTACATGTTAATTACAGCAAAAATCATACACATGCAGAAAAAGGTCAAAAGCAGTCAACAATTCTCTCTCATCATGGATGTTTCTATCTCTCTCCCTCTCCCTTCCTCTCTGAAATCAATACAAATATATATTAAAAAAATAAGTGGAACAACAAATCGATGTTTCTCCCTCTCTCAAGTCAATAAATTTTTAAAAAAGCAGAATAAACAGTAGAGTTACATGTTAATTACAGCAAAAATCAACCTCTCTCAAATCAATAAATTTTTTTAAAAGCAGAATAAATAGTAGAGTTACATGTTAATTACAGCAAAAATCATACACATGCAGAAAAAGGTCAAAACCAAACATGGATAAAGAAAATGTTTGGTTTGTTAGAATGTTGAGATTACAAGTAAGAATGGTTACAGTGTCATTTGTGCAATGCACACTTTATAAATAAACACGCAAAAGGCCAGGAAATAGCACTATGCAGGATCTTGTCCACTGCCATTAATTTTATCATCCTGGAATGTTGAGATTACAAGTAAGAATCCTGTTAAGTGGTTACAGTGTTATTTGTGTAATGCACACTTTATAAATAAACACACAAAAGGCCAGGAAATAGCACTATGCTGGATCTTGTCCACTGCCATTAATTTTATCATCCTGGGCCACCCTCTGCTCCTCCCTGCGCCTCAGCTGCTTCACCTGCTAAATGATGCTGATTTAGAATCCAGGCTCTATATGAACTCCGGATCAGTTTTTTACTTTGTGCAATTCTGTCTGAATTTCTATTGGGAGGGAGAAGAGGAGAGGGCAGTTTTTTAGTTTAGAAGAGGAGGTACAGTTTTTTAGTTTTGTCATCAAATAATAATCATGCTCCGACCTTTCCTGCCTCTTTCAACATCCCAACACACCTGTTAAAACACAAACCTGGAGAAACTCGATTATGCACACAAACACCTCCTTCCTGTCTTCCTTCTCTAATTAAGCTAACACACTATAGAGATCTATTTCTTACCAAAATATTGGTTAAAAATGTAGTATATAATCCACCACTTAACTGGACTGTGATTTAGACTGGGATGAGGGCGGAGGTAACAATGATTATTAATTTGTATGTTAAGCTATTGATGATCTGTGTGGACTATGTATTTTTCCCCATAACACTACCACAATCATGTCCCTAATTTAATAAAATTCAGTGAATGTCAAATACAATAGTCAATTCTATCCTGTAGGATTAATAAAAGGGGGGGGGGGGTAACATATCACCTACTAAGTAACTGTCCAAATAAGGAGTTAGCTTTGTATCATATATTCCTCAAGTTAAAATCAACTACATGAAATTGTTTGGTGGTCTCATGAAATTACAATTTTGGTAGTATGCTAAAGCTGGAACTTTATAGCTTTAGCATACCACCAATTAAATAAAATGTATCAATAGGAATTTTTTGAAGTTTTCATTTAGATATAAAATAAACTGTGCAGAGCATGAAATTATACAAAAATAATAGTGCATAACTAAATTAAAATATTTCAGATACCTCAAATGCAAACACTAATGCTTATTAATTAATCAGCTATTTTACCTAAAGCATTTTAGAGAGGAAGAAGAGGCAGATGTCGTTATTTCTTCTGGAGAAGGTGGAATAAAATCGATATCATAATCATCTTCATCAAGTTGAACACATGGAGATTTCTCCAGTGAATGGAATTCAGTTTCTTCCAAGTGTTTTTCCTTTTCACTATTATCTAAAGTAGACAGTTGATAACATACGTTATTTTAATAATTAATGAGACAGAAAGCGGCGGGTATGAGCACTGAAAAGTGAGTGTGTCAGGCAAATCATAAACACTAGCACTACTCTGTGAGCCCTCTCGTTTCCCACCTTAATGTCAGCTTGTTTTTTCATAAATTATTATTGAGTCCATTGGAGCAAGTCCAGTGAATACTGGATTGAGGCCAAAGATCTGCTTAAGGCTTTTCATGACTGTCTCATTAAATTATGAAACTCTTACTTGGCACCAGCACTTTTGTTTTTCTATTTTTTACTCATATTTAAATAAGAGTAAAGTGCAACAAATGAGTCTAATAATTTTACAAACACCATTGTTTGTACAAACTATTTTTACTTTATCACAAAGGCTTCCTAGTGCTTTAAGTCTATCAGATACAATCTCTCTCTTGACTACAAGGAAAAACACAATGCCCAATTGTTGCTCTTTAGTTTACATTTTACAAGTTTTCTCTTCATAAACAGACACACATCTGATTAGACTACAGCTCTGTTTATTGTCAGGATGCAGGTACTTAAAAATTTGTCTCACGCCTGACTGGTTTGGCTCAGTGGATAGAGCATCGGCCTGCGGATTGAAGGGTCCCGGGTTCGATTCCGGTCAAGGGCATGTACCTGGGTTGCGAGCACCTCCCCAGTGGGGAGTGTGCAGGAATCAGCTGAGCGATGTTTCTCTCTCATCAATGTTTCTACCTCTCTATCCCTCTCCCTTCCTCTCTGTAAAGAAATCAATAAAATATATTTTTTTAAAAATTTGTCTCACATTTGCAACAATTTCATAAGGTAGGTACTTCCACATATGGCTAATCTTAGCTATGAGACTTAAACAGAAAATAATTTGAATGCAATTTATGCTTTAATAGCATGATCAGATCATATTATGCAGCAATATTCGGTGGCAGCAAGCCATAAAGGAATTATAATAGAAAGGCTTAATTCACTTCCCAATTCTACCACTTACCAGCCAATAGACCATTTAACCTCTCTGGACCTTATTTTCTCCGTATGTAAAAATCACAGATTATTAGCAGAATAAAATCTTTCATTTCATCAGTATATTCTGCCTCAAGCATGTGGCCAACAGATTGTTCAATAAACATCTCTAAAGATCTGAAGGACAAAAGCTGTATCATATTTGCTACTGTTCCAAAACCTAGCTTTGACTGAATGAATACCATCGATATACTGAAATGAAAATAAAGTAATTTTTACCTCTTTCCTCTCCCAAATGAGTTTTTGAAGAGTGGCTATTCTGAGTGTCTTCATTGGTAAGCTCTTCGGAACTGGGGCCATCATCAATACAAATCACA